CGTTAGCCATAAAAATATGACTAATTTTTCTTCTTTTCAAAAGTAATCAAATGTGATTAGTTTTTTGAAAACATCAACTCAAGTGCCCCCACCACCCCTCCCCTCCCCCATCCATTGGTGCTGGTGACCATAGTCTGAAAAAACAAAAAATATCCTGAATGTCGCTCAAAAGTAATTGAGACTTGTGAAATCATAAAAAGTCACCGGAATTCGTCGAAATTCGTAAACAGCGTGGAGAAAATTAATTGTAAAAATGTCGACAAAATTTAATATCGATAGTCACAATGACATGTGGGATGATGTCACTAGCAGTAATAACTGCCGCGGATAGTAGTAATATGTCACTCAGTATCACCGGTGGTGTCACATTTGTGACAGTTTAAAATCAATGACAATGACACGTTTGCTCACATTTTTAGAATCAATTTTAAAAAATTAGTAACATTTTTGTTATGGATATTATTTTTTGTAATGTTGAAAAATATCCTCCAAAAGTTGGATTCTTGTTTTTTATTAAATCGGTGATATGCTCATATACTTAAGAATGCAAAATATGAATTTACATGTACTATATAATCACGAGTGTGTTGTTAGGAAGTTATCTATAATATGAAGAAATACATACTACCATAGAAATAGCACGAAACACTCATGCAATATTACACTTTTTTTAGAGCTAGCTGACATATATAATAATGGAGACTAAATTCTGTAATATGTGCATGAAAATGTTAATTCTAATGTTTGTAAAACAAAAAGGTAGAAGATTGACAGAATTGGTAGAACTAGATGTTATTGATAGGGTTGGAGGTAATTGTAATAATTTCATTGCTTCACTCTACATGTACTTCCAATATCAGTTGTGGCATATCTTCCCGTGGTCCAAATTTTCTCCCAGGCCACTTTTAGTAGTTTATGTCTTCCTTTAAGTTTCACCAATGGAATAACTAGCTAGATTCTTCAACTTCATGGTAGAACAAAACCAGTTGTTATACCGTATGACCGGTACACGGTGAGCGCCGTATACCCGGCATTGGTTTTTGGCAAATTGACTTCTTTATTTTTTATTTCCCTTTTTATAAAAAATGGTAATAACTTTTTTATTTTTGATCCTATTTTTATAAAATTTCTATCAACATTTTTTATTTTTCATGATCTTTCAAATGAAACCAATATTGTCTATGTAATTTTAACATATTATCGAACTATTATATCAAACCTATGTAAAATATGTAATTTTACGTGTAGAAATATGTAACTCACGTCCAGTCAGACCAAATGCAACTCATGTGTATAAATATGTAACTCTACGTGTAAAACTATGTAACTTTACGTGCAAAAATATGTAACTCGCATTCAGACAGGTCGAATACAACTCGTGTGTATAAATATATAACTCGCGTGTATAAATATGTAACTTTACGTGTAAAAATATGTAACTTTACTTGTAAAAATATGTAACTCGCGTTCAGGCAGGCCAAATGCAACTCGTGTGTATAAATATGTAGCTTTACGTGTAAAAATATGTAACTTACGTATAAAAATATGTAGCTCACATGTATAAATACATAATACAATAAATTTTTTATATACACAATTTTAAGATAAATTGTGATTTACACAATTATTTTTCTGTATTAAATTTAGTTTGATTTTCCTTATAATCCAATACTCATTAATATAATAGTTCGATAATTTCTTAAAATTACATAAGCAATATTGGTCTCATTTGAAAGGTCATGAAAAATAAAAAATGTTGATATAAATTTTATAAAAATTGGATCAAAAAAAAGTTATTACCATTTTTTAAAATAAAAAAAGAATAAAAAATAAAGAATACGATATGCCGGTATAAGGTGCTCACCGTATACCGGTCATATGGTATAATTTGCGGAACAAAACAGGGAAGAAATTGGATTTATCGAATTCAAGCCGGAAGTCAAGTTCCTTCGAGCTTGTGAAGTGAGGACTAGACCGAATTCAAATTGTTGTAGGTATGTTCATAAGTTATATTCGAACTCTTCTTTCAAAGGAGTGTAATTTTCATTTTAACCTAAACACAATTACATACGGAGTAGTATTTGTTTGGTAGAGATTTTAAGTAGTTTGACTTCTTTCGATTACTCCGTATATTATTAGAAAAGAAAAGGACAATATCATACTCCGTAATACATATCCTTTTAGGCAGGGATGGAGCCAGACTATAATATTAGTGGTGTCAATAATTAAAGTAATATTATAAATATAATAATATTAATAAGTAAGTAGTTTTTATATTTTAACTAATAAACACAACCTTTTATTGTTTTATGAGAATTACTTAGAACATTATTTATGAGTTTCCAGTGTTCACTTTACTCAATCATTCAATATTAATTTGGTTTATGATATTCATAAACTAAACCAATACGTGGTAATATATATCCAAAAAACTTTGAAATCACTAAGTAGTATATAAAATAATCATTTGACTCCTAATACCGTTCAATTTTTGTCTGTTTTTTTTTCATTTTTGTTTCAATCATACTTGCAAAAAAATTGTTAGATAAAGAGCAGATGTTGAGAAATATGTGATGTCATTTCATATATATATATATATATATATATATATATATATATATATATATATATATTGGAAAAAGGCGGCTTATATTGATATAAAAGCATTCAGCAAGGGAAACAGAAGATAAAATGACAACTTCCAACCACCGACCCTCGAATCAGACTTAGAGCCAATCACATTCAAAAAAGCAATATGACTCGTTGATCCTGTAATGAGTCTAAATGAGCCTAACGCGGTTAGAGTAAACCTCTCATCGCCCCAAAATAATGCAAGAGTCTGACAGAAATAAATGAAAATGACAAAAACACACACAGTCTGATCAAAAGAAAGAACAAAAATAAAAACATAAACGTGGGAACTCAGCTGCATCCTCAGTACTCCGAGGAGCTTGGCTGAGCCATCAGAGCCATATCCATCTTCACATCTCTTGGCGGGTTGAGAAGCCTGGACCCGCCCATCTCTGTTTTTTGGGACATCAACTGCCATTTTGTCCCCCGTGCATTCTCATCCTTTTCCTCCTCCCATGTCCTTCCGCGTTTCTGCTCACCGATTATTTTCGCCTCAGCTGCTATTTCCTCATCCCCATTGCGGCCTGAGTTATTGCCCGCCACTGTGATGTCCCAGCTCTGCCTTCCTACCCCAATCCTACTAATTCCAACCCTCTGAGACCCTCCACGACTGCCCACCAATCCTTCTGGCACTAACCATTTATTCCCGCTCATTGAGCGAGCTTTACCTCCTCCCCCTGCACGAAGGCCCACCCCATAGGGCTTAGCCAGTTCCCCGCTCTTATGTTCGTAGACCAGGGGGCAATATCTATTGGCGTGTCCTATGATACCACAGGCAAAATAAAAGTTTGGCAATTTCTCATACTTAAAATCAACCCAGTATCCTTTACCCTGCCCCTTTCTGAGAGTCGTGCCAACTTTGAGCGGTTTCCTTACATCCATATTAACTCTAACTCTCATATAGGATCTCCACGTTTCCTCGAATTGGCTTTCATCTAAACTAATAAATTTTCCAATGGAATTCCCTATTCTTTGCACCGCCCCAATGTTCATAAAGTCATATGGTACATTATGTACCTGCACCCAGAATTCTGCCTCATTTAGAGGGATTTGCAACGGCACATCACCTGGCCTAAGTTCCCTCAGAATCAGCAGGTTCTGCTCAAAAATTCATGGTCCACCACTAATAACACGTTCCATATCCATAGCATGATAGAAAGTGAACATGTATCTTTTCTCTCCAATTTCTTTGATGGAAATACCTTTACCCGGTCTCCATATTGAAGCCATGAGATCCCTCAGCCCCGGATTTTCACCATCCTATCCGTGAGCACCATTCCCACCACCGGGTAGGCTTCCTGGTCAGCCAAACTGCCTTCTTCCTCGGTAGCATCCTCCTCAAAGACTATCTCCTCCTCTTGTTCCCCGATGGTCATCTCTTTGTATTTTTCAGTGATATCCTCCATCTCCGTTTATCCTCTCCCGTCAAGTAGCGCCTATGAATATCTCGACGAAGCAAAACAAACACCACCTAAATATGCTCGACGTCCACAGTCCACGACCACCAACCTGCCCGAGCGATCAACAAACAAAAGGAAAGCACCGTCGCTCTGAACGAGAATCGACGGTGGCAGAAAAAAACGAAAGTTGCGCAACAAACCCTAAGAGTCTAGGGAGACGACCCCGTTTCTACTCATTGATAATTAAAATTCATTTCATATATATATATATATATATATATATATATTCACCTTTTTTAATACAACGATGGTGTCATTTTTCAAAATTTCAATTTACATATATATATATATATATATATACCCACACATCATTATCAATCACTAATAGCTGTTTCAATCACAAATTTCCTTCTTTCCAAGTACAAGTATTTTTCGATCCTGTTTATTTGAACTTGAACAAATTTTCAATGAATACGGAGTACTTCGCATTTTCTACAACCAGGAATGTTTTTTTCTATAAGTATTTACATCAAGTTTTCAACTTCCACTTTCCAGCTTTCATTAAAAAAGGTGACAACCGACAAGCGGTAGAAGGAAGTAGTGCACAAGGGTTAGGTCCTGATTCGAATCCCGACAATTGTGATGAGAGGTTACTATGCTAAAAATGCATAGGACCTCTACAAGTATCGGGGACAGAGCCCCATTCTCTATCTATCAGATTGGGATTACAGTCCAATTTACATCTTCCCAACGTACCGTCCGGTCGGGGTTGGAGACCCCTCAAGGATGAGGTGTCAATCCTTTTTTAAGAAAATGGAGTACCGTACATACCACTCACTTAATTAGTTCAAATTATTACATCATTTTTAATTTAGATTTAAATAATTGATCTGCAACTTCCACTTTCCACAGGTAGAAAAGGCCACTAATGCCTCGCGTTGACGGCAACCCTAAACACTATAAATCGGTGATTCTTAAACCCAATTCTCAAACGTCCAATTCTTAAACCCAAGAACTGTTTATATTTTTGAACGTTAATACGTCTAGCTTTTATTCCTTCTAGCGATCTGGAAGAAAATTTTATGCAATGGCTTCCGACGGAGAGGAAGAATTCGACGCGGATGATGGGTTTGAAGCCGACATGGAAGCCCTGAGAAGGGCGTGCCTTTTGGCTGGAGCAAGTCCCAACCGCGCTGAGGCCGATTTATCAGACTGTGATACTACCACCAATGTCCCGTACTCCCCTGATGCCGACGAAGGAGATGATGATATTGAGCTATTTCGTGATATACAGAATCGGTTTGCACTTTCATCTGATGTTCAGGCGCCTTTGGATATTAAAGCTTTATGCTCCACTTCCCCCACTAATTCCGGGGGTGGGGATGACGGTGAAGATGATCTCGAAGCGCTCCGTGCTATTCAACGACGGTTTTGCTCATACGCCGCTGGTAGGAAAAGTTGTTTATTTGTTCGTACCTTTTCTGCTTTCTTTGAAGTCAGAGTACACCCTATCCGTGGTCTTTTCTTAACCTATAATCTAGCTTTCGTGCTTTTGGAAGTATCCAATATTGCTTATTGCTAAATATGATAATGCCATGTTGTTCTATTCTTATTAAAAACGAATATGATTATCTTGTTACCCACTGAAATACAGATGATGCAAAAGAAGAATTGGACACGAAGTTGCATGAGCCTGTGCAGGTTGGTGTTACTAATAAAACCTCAGAAGAGGAAAGTTGCAATAAATTCTTTCTAGATAGAACTAATGCTGGGGAAGGGTTTCCCACTTCTGTAGATGGACATTACAGTGCCCTTGAGATATCAGAAGCATGCAGTGGTCTAGGTGCTAGAGTCCAATCTGGTGACTCTTCTTTGTGGAACAATGTTAGCACTGAAAATGCATGTAACATGCTAGTTGGAAGTTCTAATTTCCCTCAATCAGCACAAGCTTTTGTGGACGCAATAAAGAAGAATCGAGCTTTACAAAAAGTTATTCGAAGCAAAATGATGCACATAGAAACAAGGGTTGCAGAATTAAATAAACTTAAGGGTTGGGTTAAAATCTTCAGAGGTTTTCAGGTTTCTTGCCAAAGGAAAACTAGTATTGCCTTGGCACAGAAAAACGATGCCCGGGTCCAATTGATATCTACAATAAGACAAAAGGTTAATCCAAAGGTCAGTATGTACTATTTAGTAATATTTCTTCACATTTCATATCAACAAATTGCTCTTGTGTATAAAAATGGGGCTGTAATGTTCCCTAATAGTTTTCATTATTATCGTACAAAATTTGAAAAAGTAAGAAGTTTTGGGGGGCTTTCTGGTTAAAATATGTCTGACCATAGTTTTGTTATTCCAGCTAAATGAGAGAAAGTGTTCTCCCTTGTATTATGCACCACCGGAGAATTCTAATGTGTCCAGTTATAGAGAAGCATTGGCGAAGTTTCCTGTTTCTGTGAAACGAGAAAGGTGGTCAGAAGATGAAACGGTGAAACTTCTGAGTGGTATTAAACAACAATTCCAAGAAGTTATGTTTCATCGCTCAGTTGATCTAATAAGGTTTGATCGTCTAACATTTTTCCCAATGAATTTAACAGAGCAAGATTATTTTGTATGTCAAATGAAGAGCTACAAATAACCAATAATTAAAACATATTGCTTACCGCCATACTGTGTGTCCGTGCATCATTGTGCGTCCTATAATGGTGTATGTAATTGTAATTGGTACGCTGAGTTACAGATCATATTGGCATCATCGTTAACAGACACAGCTCTAGCCTCTAGTGGACTAATTCTTAAATGGTGAAGTAGATAACATTATTGGATTTAATGATTTTTGCTATATGCGCCCCCTTCTTTGTGATGGCTTATGACTTCCAATCATATGGAGTTGTGCAAGTCCTTATTTTGTTTGATCAAATTTTCTCCATTTTTTGTTGTTTTTTCTGCAGTGATGTGGATGGATCTTTTGGAGATTTGACTGATATTGACAAAAATATTTCATCAATAAGAGGACTTGATATTACCCCTGATATGATAAGGTTGTTTTTACCCAAAGTCAATTGGGATCATTTGGCTTCAATGTTCTTGCCCAAACGGACTGGTAGTGAATGCCAAACAAGGTATTTCATTACACTTACTGTTACTTAGTTCCAGTGAGTCACTCCTGCATTGGCTGATGGCACCCTGTCTCAGGTCAGCATTTGGTAAATCTTTTTGGCAATTGAAGAAAAGCTGCTCAGAAAATGCAGGAGTGTCACTTTGGTTATTTGTATTTTGTGTAACCACTTTTTCCTATAAAAAATTAATTGCTGCTGAAGGTAATGCAGTAGATATAGTTCAGATATATTAATTGAATTTTTATGCAAGCTCCATCACTATGTTTGTATGTAATTGGATATAGGCTGTTTTGCTCAGAGTTATCAACTCGGGAATTCATTCTTATACCTAAATACATAATTGTCAAAGGTTTGATTATTTGGTTATCATTGGCGGATGTCCATCTATTAAATCCATAAAAACCCGCCTTATAAACATGACAGATGGTGCTGCGGCCTATGGACGAATCATGGAGAACAACATAAAAAAATTACTTATATATATATATATATATATATATATATATGTTTCATGTATAAAAATCTACATATAAATACTCGAACTCATCATCTTTATCAACAAGTGAGGTGTATCTCTTTTTATTTTCTCTTTCAGTTCCTCAAAATTAATCAATGCTTCTACTTCTTTGGATACCTCATAGTTCCCATACAAAAGATGATAAATAAATAAGAATTTGTAGGAAAGAGAATAAAAAATATTAATAGTCATTTAACTTTGGAGGAAGAGTAGAGTACAAAATAGTGGCTAGCCATAAGGTTCATCCCGATGCCAAACTAGTCAAAATTGCCTCAAGAAAGAGAAATGATGATCACGTAAAGTAACTTACGCTTCACCTCTCACCTAGTTAGGCGTATGATTCATGAGGCCAATTAGGCGTAAGCCATAATTTTTTAAAATATAATTTATCTAGATTAGACTTGCTTCTAACGTAGGATGATTTTAAGTCTATTTTAGTACCTGAACCATTTGATGACTCGGTCAGGACACTGATCATTGATCAATAGTTGAACTGATGGGTAACTAACTGAACCAACATTACAATCATTTCAAAAATCTAAACTCTATAACGTCTTAAAAATAAAAATAAATAAGACCCAATTACATACTATCATCATTGATAATTCCAGAGTTCAAATTTTAAAGTTCCAAGTAAAATTCCATAATTTTCCTGAAGTTGTTTCATGCTGGGCGGATGTTCTCTTACATAAAGAACCATCCATACCGGGTAGATAGTTGAACTGGAAACTCGATCAGGGTTGCACCAGTTTGAAGGACTCAATTACACGGTCAATCAAACAGTAGACCGGTTTGCGTAACACTTGTTTAGTTGTATCGAAAATGGGCTGTTGATTATCTTTAGTCGAACCGGATCTTTTTTATCCTTTTTATCTTATTTTTTTTTATCTTTTCTTTATCTGTATCTTATCTTCTTTAAATCTTTTTTATCTTATCTTATCTTTTTTTTTTATCTTTTTGAGCTCCAATTTCATATGTCAATTCATCTTAGCCGACCCCAAACTCTTTTGGGACTAAGGCTTGGTTGTTATTGTGATTAGTTGTATTGAAAATAAAATTAGCTAAAAGCTTAACACAACAAAAGCACTAGAACATCAGTTTTTTTGCTCTATAGACTCTACCCCAATCCCTTTCTTTTTTATGATATATATGGTTGCTTTCTTCTACATGAGTCCACCGCATGACCTTTTTCTCCACTCAAATGAAGCTTTCAGAAGTTGCCACTTTTCTACTGGACACATTGTTCATCTTTGCTTCTGTGGTGAAGACTCGACTTACATGTTTGATTGTTTTTACAAATTTTTTACAAGCTTTATATTTGTGATTTTGGCACTTTTAAATGAAATGAATGGTGTTTTTAAATATGTTACACTATTACATTCCATCTATGATGCATGCCTCAGTGCAAAATGCTGGAATAGTGCCCACTGTGTTTTCTAGAACGCAACCACATGTGCATCTGACATAAGCCTTGGCTAGCCCTGTGAGGCAGTCGTGGAATAAGCGTTTTTTCTTTTCAGGTATTGGTTATATAAATATAAATCTCTTGAATTAGAGTTTTTCGCATATCCTGACCTATAAGGCTTTTTTTCTCAGCTGCTTTGGTTTTAATTAGATAAATTCAACCTTTCTATTTACAAAACCCTAAGATCTAGTAGATTTTTCGCTATTGAAGAACAAGGAAACCCATATCCCCATTAATTAGCGTTTTAGAAATTTTGGGATTTCATTTTTGCCTTTTTGTTGGTCTTTTGTGGATTTTTATTGTCAGTTTTTATGGGATTTCATCACGCAATGCGTTGCGAAAAAATTATTGCAATTTACATTTAATTATGTACTACCTATGTCCCATATTGACAGTTGATTTTTGTTTTCTGAAAGGAAGTTGATTTTTGTTATGTCATTTAAGAAAAAAAATTGTGTTGTTGTAATTTATGTAGAAAAATACAATCATACAATACAAATAATATGAACTACAAAACTCATTCCCGAAAGAGAAATGTAAAGATGATTTTGGGACGTACACAAAAGGAAATAGTAAAGATTTATTGGGGATGGTGGGAGTAATAATATTTATATTTTGATAATGTAGAATATTCTCATCATTAATTATTTTGGAAATGTATATGGAAAAAAGTATATATGTATCAATGTATACATATGTTTGGGAAGATATTTATAAACACATCCTTAATTTCTTATATTTATGAATAACATTACTCGCACCGGTTAAGGTGTTGCTTTGTGACCGGTCACAGATTCAAGTCTTGGGAGCAGCCTCTTAACAAAAATTTGATAGGGGAAGGCTTGCCCCATATACACCCTTGTGGTGAGACTCTTTCCCGGACCCTCGCCTTGCGGGGATGCCTTCATGCACTGGCCTGCCCTTTATTTAAAGTTTCTTGCCTTTATGTGCTACTTAGCATATCACTGGATATAATTTTTTCTGACATTCCGCAGGTGGTTAAATTTTGACGACCCATTAATCAATAAGGGACCATGGGTGTACAATAATCCGGAGGAAAAGAACCTTTTGCGTATTATTCAACAAAAGGGGCTCAATAACTGGATTGATATTGCAATATCATTAGGAACAAACAGGACTCCATTTCAGTGCTTAGCACGCTATCAACGGAGTCTAAATGCTTCAATTATTAAAAGCAAGTGGACTGATGAGGAGGATAACAAACTGAGAGCAGCTGTGGAAGCTTTTGGTGAGAGTAATTGGCAGGCTGTTGCTGCTTTAGTCGAAGAGCGGACTGGTAACCAGTGCTCCAATAGGTCAGCTAGCTTTAATGATTGTTGGAGTTTCTCATGCATTCTTGTTGAGGTTGTCAAACTATTATATACTAACTCCGTCCCCCCATAATTGTCCCATTTTTCCATTTTTGGATGTCCCCCTATTATCGTCTCATATCATATTTGGTAACATTTGTGTGGCTCTAATTCATTGTTACTTTATTCCCACTTTATCAACTCATTATCAACCACATAATTCTACTTTTCTTAAAAACCACACCACTCCCTTCCGTACCAATATTAGGGGGACGGAGGGAGTATTAGATATTGGCATAACTGCCTGAGAAATCCAAATTTGGGCAGTAATGCATGGCTTAGTTTTACATGAGGCTGCTGGCCCATAAAGGGGGACAACAAGCTAGTATATTGTTTCAGCAGACAGCAAAGCCTATTTATTCGACTATATTGTTCTTGTTATAGTCTTCAGTCTTCGCTCCTCAGCAAAATACTTGAGGGATTTGACTCATCCAATTATACAGATGGATTAAAAGTCTTAATCCTGCTCGCAAGAGGGTTGGGCGATGGGCTGCTAATGAAGATAAGTGCTTGAAAGTTGCTGTAATGCTTTTTGGGAATAAATCATGGAAGAAGGTAGCTCAATATGTACCTGGACGGACTCATGTCCAGTGTAGGGAAAGGTACTTCGTGTGCATCTAATATTTCTACTAATCATGTTAATGTGTGTCATTTGATATATAATTTGGATATTTCTCCTCCTTCTTGCAGATGGGTCAACAGCTTAGATCCTTCATTGAATATGAATCAATGGACTGAAGAAGAGGACTTGAAGTTGGGAGCTGCAATTGACGAACACGGGTATGCATGGTCAAAGGTTGCTGCTTGTGTTGCCCCACGTACTGATAGTCAGTGTAAGAGGTATGAGTCATGCACTTCAGAGCTTAGAAAAAATTATTGTGCTGGATTTAAATAATTATTATTGTGCTGGATACATTGTAAAGTCTGCTTCTCAGTCTTTTCTTTGATTATGCTTCATTTAGGAGATGGCAGGTACTATCTCCACTTGAAATTTCTTTGCTGCGGCAGGCTAGAAATTTACAGAAGGCGGCGTTCATATCCAACTTTGTAGATAGGGAGAATGAACGACCTTCCCTTAAACCAGATGACTTTACTTCAGCACCTTTACCCTTAACCGTATATCGATCAGAAACTCGTGGGAAACGGAAGATAATACCAAAGTATGAGATAGCACCAAGGTATGTTATGACTGCTTGCTTGAGCTAAATTTGCCCCTACCATAGAAGTAAATCAACTCTGATTCACTGGCTATATTGCACCGAATACTTGAACTTAGTCGTGTTTAGCTTTATGGGAGAACATGCCGGGGAATATTCATCTTCTGGGTATGTTTCTCAGGTTTTTGGGATTAAACAAGAATATTATTGGCGATTCTATATGGTTTGGTGTGTTTCGGGTGTGGTTTTGGTGGTTCTTGATTTAACCTAATATCCAAATAATCGAATAGACTTAGAGTATAATGACGCTCCACTTAATGAAACGGATATATTTTCAAATACTACCTCCGTCCCACTGAGATTGGACAAGAAGAAGTGGCCCAAATATTAGGAAAAATGGAATTTTGTGGTTGATATTCAGTTTATGTAGTGTAAATAAAGCTAGATTGAACAAGAACCACACAATTATTACCAAATATGGTATGAAGAAAATTTTGAAGGATGGAAGAAAAAGGATAATGGAACGGAGGGAGTAGCTTTGTGGAAGTGTTACAAGTTGCTCTAGTTTTTATAGCAAAATTGTAATTCAGTAACACTCGGGTATTAATTAGCATTAAAAAATGATGTCATCTTGAATGTGTCACATGGTATAATTTAGTTTACTAATTGATAATTGATGCTTTAATCTTTTTAATAAGAATTATTTATTTTGCGATTCTTCTTAAGTAGTTAAGTTTGGAAGTTTAGTTCTGTAATGTTAACTAAACCTAATTGTAAGTTTAATTATTTTAGAATTCGAGGATTATTAATAAGAAAAACCAAACATTTTTGTGAGAAAATCAATTTGAAAAAAATGAAATACCTTAGGCTAGCATAGAGATCAGTTATAAAATTTGTATTTAGATTGAATATAGGTGGGAGCTTTTGCGGGCACTAGGGTAATGATGATGATGATGATGATGATGATTGAATATAGGTGGTGCCACGTTTTCTCTATGGAATTCTAGAAGCAAACCGTACAAGCCATTATAGTTTGAATTGGTATTCACTATTTGAATTGCGATTTATGTATTGGCCTCCAGCGTTGCTTATGTAATATATCTGTCAGAAGGAATGGTTTGCCTTTTTTTGTGACCACCACTACGGTTGTAGTGGGCCTTTGCTGTTGTTGCCATATCACTTAAGGAGTTATCTACGTGCATTCAAAGTCTGGGGGCATGATATTTAATTAAATACTATGTATAATGTTTGTTGAGGGGGTGTGTGTGAAATTGGGAATGTGGTTGGTAGTTTTGTTATTGACAATGAAGTTAGCCCATCTTGAACAGTAGATGCTTTGAAGTATTCCTTTTCAGAACATCACCTTTCGCAGTGTGACAAGGTGTGTTTGCATCATATCGCTCTGATTCATATATTTATTTTGCAGCAAAATGCTTTCACATTTCCTAAGAACCACCGATGCCATGGAACCTCAGAATGGCCAAGACAACGTCACTCCAAAAATTAGAAAAAGGAGGAGGCGGCGATGTAATAGAGAAATGTGTACTGACGATGGAACATGTCCTCCTTTTGCTGCGGGCTTGTCAAGCAATGATGATGAACCAGGGGGGGAGGAATTGGGTGTTGCTAAAAAGAACAGGAAGGCTTCTAAATTACCTCCCAGAAAGAAAGGAAAATGTGGACATGAAGACATTCCAGAGATTTTTGCCACAGATGAGATGGAGGCAACATTCGGAGAGGGTGGTATTATCTTTAAGAAATCTACAATGAAGTCGTCTAGGAAAGGGAAAAAAAAAACTTGTTCGAGAAAGAAATGCACTGATTCATCATCTATTGACAGGGTCGGAAAAGATGATGGCCAAAGTGCTAGTTTACATCATGCTAAAGGCGCGCTACTAGATACTGATCCACCAGAGGAGCATTTCGATTCTTCATTGTCGTTTGTAGCTAATGCTGAGCTGGAGTCTGGTGATATTTTGGTAGAAGAATCTCATAGCCATTCATTACAAATGAGACGGTTGGCTGGTGATGTCCTGAATACTAGATTTTCTGGATCTGACATTTTAGGTAAAAGAAAAAGATATGAAGGCAGAAATGCGGCTCGCTCAATTGAGCTGGGAATTGAAGTGGAGGAAGAAGACTCCATGACTCTTGCTACCTTCCTCCAAAAATCTGGTAATTATAGCAATCATTCAGCTCCTGCTACAGTCACTAAACAAAATTCGAATTTAAATGAAAACGGTGTTTCGATGGAACACACATTGACTGCTGCTTCAAGATGCAGTGAGATCCAAGAGCAGGGAATTGGAATTAGACTTGGGAACACTATTTCTTCTGCAGCACAGGGAGATATTGAGGATGAGATGCCTCTTGCTCATTTTTTCAACAAATTGAAGAGAAGAAGGCTTGAACTTCCGATAACAGGCAGCAATCCAGGATGAGCAGCCTGCTAATTGCTCCAATTTTTCAATGTTTGGAGAAATTGCTTGAGCCCGCACCATCGGTATAAAGTGCAACAACCAGCACTCAGATTTTGACTACAGTTTTTCTTTTCTTTTTGCCATATTTTTGATGATACACCCATAGGTTTCTAATGTACAGCTAGACTGGGAATGACATATACAATACATTTATTGTGCAAAAGAGGTGAACCATACGGCTTTGGTTTATCACGATGCACACAGCACATATGTGTCATAAAAAGTTGGTCTTTAATTTACTACTGTCTTTGTATATGTATTTGCTTTGACCATTGCCGATTTTAGAGCCCCATGCCCATATCTCGAATTAGACTCACTGTATCCTTTTTCTTCTCGGATTTACGGTTCCTGTTATGGTGCTTGTTAGCACTTTGCACTAGCTATTACTTCATCCGTCCCACTTTGTAAGATACTTTAGGGTTTATGATGTTTGACCAACGATAAAGCAAACTGTTCCCTGTCTGCACTCAAAGTATTTTTAGAAGAAAAAAAGTACACATTCGATAAATTACATTAAAAACTTTATACTCTCAAAACCAGAATCAAATTTGATAAAAAATTGACCAAGTGAATAAGAAATATATCTAGTAGTTTATATGATCAGATCATGTTACCAACAATTTTGGTGAAGTAGAGAGGTTGTGAACTTTAAACTCTTCACTTTTACACTATCTAATTGGTTAAGACTAATTATTTATTATAAGAAATAGTGTTTGTCTTTGATAAAATTAAATTTTTGACATGATCTCACTGGTTAAGCCTAATGAAGATAAAATTGTGTTATGTATGTAAGTAGTGCTGTCAAGATGGGTCAAAACTTGTGGGCTGGCCCGTTTCAAATCATTTATTGGAGGATTATGGTTGAGATTTTCTGACCCCATTATTTCATGGGTCAACTTTCGCAGATTGCAGATTAAGTGGGTTGGCCCGCAGGCCAAAATACAAAATATGGTTTTGACTTTTATTATATTTATATTGTTCTTTAACTACCAAAATCTTTACAATTAGAATTATATACTTATCATTTTAAAACCATTGCAAAATAAATTGAACATACATGTGGAGTATATTTAAAGTAAAGTTGAACATAATAGTTCTCCCTAATTTTTAGCAAAGAATAGTCATGATGTTCAATAATGGTTCAAAATGTTTAAGTAGATTTTTACTTTTATACCATGAGTATATTTGTTAGATATCCTCTTATGGTTTTTAAATTTCGGTATAATTATTACGGGGTATTCAATACACTGTATGATTTAATTAAAGAGTTTTTTGTCACTTTTAATTCTCCGACTATTATGTCAATGACTATTAGTGCCCAAATTGGGCCTTGATGATTTCCCTCCAAAGGGATAATGGGCCGATCCGATATCCAACCTATTAACCCAATACAAGTCCCCCACTTCTGATGTTCCAAGCATGCGCGGGACATAAGGAAGTATAAATGCTCCCTTCGAGTCGAGCCCTATCGACGCTCTTATGTGAAAGTTATCAGGCGCTTCCCAAAACCCTAGATGATGGTTACGGCGTCCGCTTCAGTTTTCAAGTCAGTGGTAATCATTACGTGCCTGTTGAGCTTCGTGCGACACGTGTCCTGAGGTACGCTCCTCGCCACGTGTTGCACACTCACTGGTTCGTCAGGTGGTGGAGATTCCTATAAATACCAGTTCCCTCGAATGGTTTAGGGTTTCCGACTTTCGTTTAACTGCTCTCAAGTGCTCCAATGTAACTCTGCTCAGGATCCCGGTCATCAGCTCTTCTCGCTCCTTGTGTTTTAAATGTCGCAGCTCCAGCTTTTCTCCCCTTCTTTTGTTTTTTCGTTCCTCGGTTCCTAAATGTCGCACCAAATGGAGCCGACCGTGGATTCTTGCTTGTGTTTCAACACCGATTCCCAATCCCGTTCTTTGGGGGAGCTGCTGCCAATACCGCTGACGGGGGCCTACACTTCATGATGACGCCCAAGGAGATGCCGCCCAGGGGGACGAGCATCAGCCTGAAGATCATGACTTGGGCACGAGGCCTATTCCGGGGATGATCCGACCATCTTCGACAAGGGCATTCCCGAGGACGTCCAACGTCACATTGTGCCATTGTTGAACTCTCATGGTTGCAAGCAATTTTTCTCCGACCAAGCCCATAATGATCTCAAACCGAACCTTCCTCCATCGATCGTCTATAGCTTGCGCGGTGCCGATCACCTGTTGAAGAGACACCCTGATATGGTGATGGTCCACTTGGACTCGATAAAGGTGGGGCTGCAGTTTCCCCTTCATCCCTTCTACCTCGATCTCTTCCGCTGCTATCAGGTCGTCCCCTCCCAGTTCATGCCCAACTCTTTTCGATTTGCCTCCGCTTTCATCGATGCGTTGATAGGGATGTCGAGCTGAGTCTGGATCTGTTCCATTACTTCTTCAAGCCGTCTCCTCCAAATTCTGATGACTTCTTGAGCATCAGTTCCCGACCCGGGCGGAGGCTATTCCATGGAGCCCCTTCATCTATCCACGACTGGAATGAATATCCGCCGAAGATAGCGCCGCCTCCCTTACTGATGAACTGGAGGAGGCCATCAATAATGTGGAAGAGGGGGGCTCCGAGCATCTGGAGCCTTACTTTACTTTTGGGGCGCTTGCCGATGCAGGAATAGGTATCACTCGTTTCTCTAGACTGGATAATTCTCCCCTCCGAACCATATCGAGATCCCGGGCGATCTCGTTTCTGCAAGGTGAGTGTCTTTTGGATCCATACCGCCCGGTTCTAACAAATGTTTTTTCTTTATTTCAGGACCCCCCTAATCAGAAGAAAATGGATCTCGGCGCCCTAAAGCTATAGAGGGAAACCAAGGTGGCCAAGACCCGAGCAGCTAGGCAAAAGCAGGCTGCTGGTCAATCGATCCCATCCTCCAAGGTCAACTCCTTTGCGGCTTCACAGGCCGCCAAGCAGAAGAAGGATGCCGAGCAGCCTGCTACCTCGGCCACACTTGAGCCCATCCCAGAGGGGCGAGCCAATGACTCTGGCCCCGTACAGGATGCGAAGCCTCTACGGGTTGCAGTTGCCTGACGAGCAGGCACAAGGAAGAAGAAGAAGGGGAAGAGGCCTCGCACCGAGCCCTCCGGCCTTGCCGCACAGGATACCAGACTGCCTCCTTTAGGCCGCTCGATCATTGAAGCATGGAGGGAATTCACCCTTCATTCGGGAATGCAGCTGCTGCCCCGTCTGTCCGTCCCCTGAAACCGTCGAGAATGCTCTAACGACATGCTTCCAGGTATGCATCTCCATTTACTTGAATCATTATGGATTATGGCTTCAGGCTTGTACTAAGCCGACATATGTATTGGCTTATATATTCAAATGCGGATTGGGCTGACTGTCATTTGGGTTTGCAGTATTCTTGGGTCCCAATCTGGTGTCATTGAACTCTAAGAAGCAGCCTACCATGTCTAAATCCTCTACTGAAGCTGAATAACGGGCTATTGCATACATGGTTCATGATACGCTACATATTCGGTCTATATTGTTTGAGCTTGACTTTCCTATCTAGGTGCGTGTCAATTTATTGTGTGATAATATTTCCGCATCCTATTTGACTGCTAATCCCATTCAGCATGCTCGGAGCAAGAAGGTACAGATCAATTATCATTTTGTTAGAGAACGTGTTGCTCATGGTGATTTATTGGTCCAATATGTTCCTACTCATTTACAGCTATCAGATATTCTAACTAAACATCTTCCTAGTCAACATTTTCATTTTTTAAAAGACAACTTGCGCGTTGTATCTTCCGCACAGTTTGAGGGGTGTAATAGACTAGGGTAATTTCAGTATGTTAACATTATACTCTTTATTATAAATAGAACTATAAAGGCTCCGAACATGTTCCATTGTCTCGCATAGGGTTGTTAACGAGCCGAGCCCGAACACCCAAAGCTCGAGTTCGGCTCGATAAGGAATTAATGGTGTTCGGGTTCGAGCTCGAAGCTCGGTGAGCTTTACAAATGAAGCTCGTGTTCGGCTCGATAGACGTTCGATGTTCGATCCGAGCGCTCGATATGCTCGATAAATACGCTCGAATTTAAAATTTTAGGTGATGCTCGTTAATAAGCTCGTGCTCGAATGGTTCGACAAGTATTCGATTCTTTAATAATCATATTTAAATTCATAAAATAATACTAATTATATTTAAATTTTTAAATTATATTTATAATTTTAGGGTGTTTGATAGGCTTGAGTTCGAACTGAGCCGAATAGTACCATGTTCGAGCTCGGCTCGATTATTTTTTCGAACTTAAAATTCAGCTCGGATTCGTGTTCGAAAGCTCGTTAAACTCGGCTCGTTAGGTTCGAAACCGAACTCGAACTCGAATAGTTCGATAAAAGTTCGGTTCGTTAACAGCCCTACGACCATACGTACAGTCGGTCGCTACTTTAATTGGCATGTTGATGTTACGAATATATTTCCTTCCGTTTTGTTTTTTTGACCTAAGTTTATTTTAGTTTTTGGTTATGTGATTATGTCACTTCACATACCGTTGCCAAATAACACAAAATATACGTATGTGTGACTAAACAAAAAGACGAAAACGTTGGCGGGAAAATCGATGGCAACATAGTCAACTTCTTATCTGAACTTCATATATATGTACAACAAATTGATAGCAGGAGGAAAGTGGGTGTAGTCCAATAGATGATCATCCACCCCCAAGTCTCTCCTTTGTGAGAGGTCTTGGGTTCAATTCCCACCAAGGGGAGATGAGGAAGATCTTGCTCCCAATGATTCTTCCTACCTTCACGGAGTTGCTCAGCGGCTGAGAAGGGAGAGCATGGTAATGAAAGTAGCGGGTTCGCGTAAGCCCCGGGGATTATAAAAAAAACAAATTGATAGCAGCCTTTTCTTGTACTCCCAACGTATGTGAAGTAACAGACAAAGACCAGTCCCGGCCTTCCTCGTACCGTATGTAAACTATCAGCTTTTTCATTGTTCAGATTTGGGCAATACCTATTTCTGTGTAATACGGAGTACTTTCTTCAATAGCTGCCTAGTCTATGTTTTATTTCACTTTCGTACATGGTATGATTTGTGAATTTTGTTGATGGCTTACAAAACTATATGTAATACTCCCCCTACGTATAAAAAACAACTACAATAGGGTTGGACACATTATTTAAGATGAAATAGCAGGAGTAATGAATACTGTATAATAAGTAATAGAGATGACAGAAAAGTATGAAGTAAAAGATTATTAAAAAGTAGAAAATGTATGACTAATTGAGTACTTTTAAATGAAAAACTTTTTAAAAATAGAAAGTGCAGCTAGCAAACTTTTAAATACATCTAAAAGGGAAAGTTTAGGAAACATAACTAATACGGAGATTTTTTTTACTTTCA